CAATAAATAAAGTGATAAATCTTACAGGGAGAACATATTTGTAAAGTATTTAACATATAGAATACATAAGGAACGTCCAAAAATCCATAGTAATGAAACAATGCATTTAAAAATGAAAAATAGGGCCAGCTAGATAGCTCAGTGGACTAAAGCGCTTGCTTATGCAGGTGCAGGGACCGGGGTTCCATCTCCAGTGGGCCATGCTGGTGTGCTGAGATGGTGGTTGACACTGGGCGTGGTAGCATGTGCCTATAATTCCAGAGATTGGGAGGCTGCAAACAGGAGGATCACTACGAGTCTGAACTGTGTAGTGAGACACTGTAGACTGTGTGTTAAAATGCATTAAAAAATGGGTAACACATTTAAATAGATATTTATTAAAATAAGGTATATAAATGGCCAACAGATATATGAGAAAATGTTCAGTATCACTAATTATCAGGGAAATATAGATCAAAACTATGATGAAATACTCTTGTACCCCAGTAAGAATGCCTGTTATCACAAAGACACAGGCAGTAAGTTCAGATGAGGAGGTAGAAAAAGCAAACCTGAGCGTACTGTTAGAGATAATGCAGATTAATATAGCCACTATGGAAAATGCTATTGTATGGAAGTTCCTCAAAAGTTAAACTGAATCCCACTCCGGGGCAGACAGTCAAAGGAAATGACATCAAAAGGCAGGTTCAAAGGACAATTGGATTTCCATATTCAATACAGTATTATTCACAACAGCCAAAAAATGGTTAAAAAAAATCCTAAATCTTGTCTCCCCAGCCCTGGGACTACACACATGCCCCACCATGCTCAGTCTTGGTGGCCAACTTGGTGCACCTGGGGAGGGCCTGCATGGCATGTGGTACCGGGGATCAAACCTGGGTCCTTGCACTTGCGTAGGCAGGTGGTTAGGCTGCTGAACTATTTCTGTGGCCCTATATAATATTATATATTATAGAATACTATTTAGCCATAAAAATGAAATCTTGTCATTCCAAAAGCATAGGTGGAATTAAGAGATCATTATGATAAATGACATATGCCAGACACAAAAATATATATATATATGAAATGATCTCACACATATGTGGAACTTAAAAATGTTGATCTCATAGAATTTAAGAGTAGGATGGTGATTACTAGAACCTGGGGAACACGTGGATGTTAGAGAGATGGGTTACCAAGTTGTAGTCTGAGAGCAGAAACAAGTTCTGATGTGCTATTACACGCTAGAGTACAGAGAATGTTAACATACCAAATCTTTCAAAAACGTAGAAGGGAAGAGTTTGAATGTTTTTACCATAAAAAAGATAAATGTTTGGGGAGACAGATATGCAATAAATAATAAATGCATGTATTAAAACCTCACATTATCTCAAAGGTAAGTATAATTTTTGTTTTTAAGTAGAGTTAAAATAAATTTAATAACCCACAAAAATAAAACTTAGAATTAAGAATTTTTATGCAGGTCATATTTTAATCTGGGGATTTTCTTAGTCATAACAATATGTCTTTTAGATTATTACAAACAGCAAATATTACAAAAAGCAGATATAATTTTGTGCATTTTCTGTAGGGCTGAAATTATGATCAATGGTGCAAAACATCTTTAAACCTAACGTGTCAACACTCCGGGCTAAATGTGATCATATTCAACTTGTACCACAAGACTGGCAATTAAAACAGATCCTGAACATAAAAGTATTCCACAGGAGGAAGTGGCAGATAGAGACTTATTTGTGGTTGGAAAGAATGATACAGTCAGAAAATGCCATCTGTCGGACAGAGAAGAATCAGACACACCAGAGAAGTTGGTCATCCAAATCCTTACTGAGACAATTTCTGGACACTCAGAAACAAAGCTCTTTTTTTTTTTTTTCTGGAATCAAATCATCCTAGGACTATAGGTGGCCAAAATTGTCACAGGGAAAGTATTTACTTAAGATTAAAAGCAATAGAGAGCACCAAGAGACAGAGAAAGGAAGAGAGAGAGAGACAGATGTGTAAACAGTCCTGTGACCTGATGGTATCTACTAAATGTCTGGATTCAGCCATCCTTGAAGGCTTTTGATTTTTCATCTTCCTGAATCAATGTATTCACTTTATTTCAGTTAGTTTGTAGATTTGAACTGAAAGAAGCTTATGGGGATAGGTGTAGCAAAAGTTGAGGGAGAAAATACCCAAGGACACAGAATAGGAACCAAGGACTGGAGTAGGACAAAAGTGAGAGAAGTGCCTTGTGTAGTTAGTGTCTACAAGTGGGGAGATCTTTTAACATGTAAGGAAGACAGAGTGACATTTAGGTAAATGCTAAAAGAAATTTAAAAATTACCTTAAACATATCATCTCTTATCCCGATGTATGACAAACCATACTTTATTAAGGATAAATTGGCTGAGAACCCTGCTCTATACCACTGGAAGATTCTACTATGAAAATAACTTTCACTAGTTCATCAATGTATAGCTTCTTAAGTTTAAAGATGGCATTTATGATGCCAAATAACTAACAGGACATGGAATAAAAAATAAAACCAGAATCTTCTTTTCTCCCATTCTCCTATATATCCATGAGTGCAGAATAAAAGGTCGCCATTTTCTTCATGATACCTAGTATCCAGACTTAGTAATGCTTTATAGTAACCATTTGGTTCACTTTTCAAAAGAATAATAGAGAGCTGTTCCTTACTGCCCTACAGAGTCACACTGTTGTGTAACAATCAAAGCAACCTATAATCAGAGAATCCTTGGCTTTGTTCAAATACCAGTGAGCATCCCTCTTTGGAATTCACAGAGCAGGCAAGTGTGCTTGCACTGGGCTGGTTGCTAGAGAATAAGCTGGGACCCCTCAATGTTTTGTTTTATCAAAACACTAGAACTCGTGCTTATAGTTCACTTGGGTTTTCCACTGATTGTCAAAATGATGACAGTGACTTAAATCACTTGGTGGGTGGCATAATCACCCCTATGGGTAAAAGAAATGGGTGGAAGAAACTGAGAGTGTACAACATATGTGATAAAATGAAACTGAACACACAAGACAGAGTGTTAACAGATGTAGTAGAAGAAATCTGTGTCAGAATAACAGTTGACTAAAGATACGAAGAAATCTGTGTCTAAATAACAGAGTTAATTAAAGATATGAATTAGACATCATCTCTACTGGATATTCATAGTGGCATGAACACAACAGCTAAATGTACAATTACAAACTTAAGCATAACTCACAGAGCATCTTTTTCCTTTTGAAAGCAGTTGATATCAAATTAGCCTGTCTGAATTACTCAAAAGCTTGTTATATAGAGCCAATGAACTATCTCACCTTGTAGATACCTTTGGAATAGACAAAAATAGAAATCTGAAATGCTGTGCTATTTGAAATAAGAGATTATGTTATCAAATATGAGACATTAATGGCCCACAATATGAGAAGGTTCACTAAACATCACTAAGAAACTTCCCTGAACACTAGTAGGAACTAAAGAATGTTTTTTTTTTTTTTTTTTTTTTTTTTCCACAGTTCTTCATTTTGCAATTAGCAAAGACAAAATTAGCTCTTTCTTTTTTGGGGGCTGGGGGAAGGCACAGGGTTATGGATTAGGTCTAGGAGATAAAATAGGTAGTTTCAACTACTGTTTGTGATAGAATTGACTGCTATATAGGGTTACAGAAGTTAGAGGTGCTTTTCCAAGACACCTCTGTAAGTAGTTTGCTGAAATATAATACTGTGGCCAAACTACCCTTAACCAGGACATACATTTCCTAATCTTATAGAGTACTGAGAATTAATTTTATCATCAGAGAAAAGTAATATTGTAAGTAAAATGTATTCAAATAAAAGTAATGCCAGATGGGATGGTGTATACCTGTAAACTCAGTTACTTGGTAGGCTAAGGCAGAAGAATGGCTAGCTCAAGACCAGCTTGGGAAATTTAGCCAGAATTTGTCTCAAAATAAAAAATGATATAACATCCTTGGATTCTATCCCCAGAAATACAAAATAAAATGAAAATTAAAAAACAAAGTACAATTGAAAAGTATTTTATGAATATTTAGAAAGCAGATTCTGATCTCCTTACAAGCTTATTCTTTCGTTTTTATTTATTTTTTTTCCATTTATTTATTTGGAACAGGGTCTTGCTACACAGCTCAGGAGCTCGGACTCATAGTGATCCTCCTATCTCAGCTTCTTCAGGGCTGGGATTCCAGGCATGCACCACCACATTCAGTTTTGGTGGCCAGCACAGCACACTTGGGGTTCCAGGGCCAGCATGACACATGGTACTGGGCATTGAACCCAATTCCTCGAGTTTGCCAGGCAGGTGGTTAGACCACTGAGCTATTGTCCCAGCCCACAAGCTTATTCTTTCAGTCCCCTCTTCCACAACATTTTGGTCTTCCAGGTTGGGACACAATCACCCTGAGACCATATTGTTTGGTTTCTTTCTTTCTTTCTTTCTTTTTTTTTTTTGCAGAACCGGGGATTGAACTCATGCCCTTGCGCTTGCCAGGGAAGCGCTTATTCCACTGAGCCATCTCCCCGGCCCCTGAGACCATATTGTTAATTGCTGTCCTCATACCTTTATTTTCTAGCACTTCATTACCCTTCTATCATTCTCTTTTTAGATAGTTTTTACTAGTTTTGTCTCAAGTCAAAATGAGCACATAGCTTTGTATTTAGCCCTGAGCTGGAACACTGCTGCCCCTGAGAAGCTGTTGTTGAGGCAACTTCTGTTCTTGAGGCAAGGGGATTTGAGCTGACACAATTTTATGTGGCTTGGGTTTAGTATCAGGCTATGCTAACATAAGCTTTTCTTGTCTTCCCACACCCCACACAAGGGAAACCTAGATTAGTTCCTTCCTGAGAATCTGAAGTGGGAGACATACAACACGAACCTTTTCAAATCTGGACATGTGCCCATAGAGTGACAAGTGTATGACACGTGTCAAATGAAAGCAGGTTCCTCAATCATCTCTATAATTGTTGCATTACTAGAAACTTACTCTGAGATGTAGAAAGATTGGAGAAAGCTGACTTTGTACGGCCTGCCAACCATTCCAGGCTTTCATGCATGTTAGCCAAGGCTTTCAGGTCACTGACGTCACGGAGGATGTCTTGTGGAGGGATTAGTTTATCACCCAGATTCCCAATTAGAACTTCAGACTCCTTGCCAAAGGCTGCCCTGAAAAAAAAAATCATACATATTTCACTTACAGCATGGCAAAGGTAAGGCCAGGCAATACTTTTTAAGGCATGCCTAGCAGAATGATTGTTTTAATCATTTCATGCATGTTCTTTTCCCTAAGTTTAACTTTGCTAAAAAACTGTTACATGCCTGCTTAACATTATTCCCATAGGGGAAGAGTTATTGAAAGAAGAAAGAGCCGCTCCCAACAGTGCACCATCAGCAGGAGTCAGTATGGGCTTGAATGATAGAGTGACAGTCCCCAGGGTTGGATTTTATACTACTCTCTTGTGGATTATTTCTTAATTTCTTCTCCATCTATGGATGCTAATGAAGTTTAGGTGCCAAATATGTATATGGTTTTCAGGTTACTGTAATAAAAATGGAACCACCAATTTAATCTGCTTGCTAGAAAATATTTTAAGATAGTTCAAAACCAATAGTAACCTGCCTTTTAAAGAGTGAACATAGCTGAAATAGATAGGTTTCATTCATTTATGTTTTAAGAAAAGATGAGACAAATTATAGCATCAAAATATGTATCACTTGAAAAAAGAAATGAATAAAAATCAACGGCAGGTTTTTTTTACTAAATGGATAAATATAATTGAGTGGGTTTTTCACAGAGCCTAGAGTCTTCCAAATTTTTACAGGACTTGAAAACTCAAGTTATAGGGAGTTGAAAAAGACAGAGTTGGAAGGGACTCTGGAGAACACACAACACAGCTACTGTGGAGATTAAGGACAGAGGCTGGGAATGTGAACTGCTTTGTCTACAGAATACAAGTGACAGGATTGGGACTTGCGCTTCCTAATTTCAGCGGATCTCTTTCAAAAAGATGGAGGACTGAAATGAGAACTGATAACTGCGGATGGTAGGCCGAAAATCACGTCTTTTCAGGAGTGTTACACATGGTAGGTAAGTGGAGCAGATGCTGGAGGAAGACACAATAGGCACCTGGAATTTTCCTGGGGCTTTTAAATCTCAAAACACCTTATGTAAGAAGATATGCAAATGCTTCATTTAAGGAGGAAAGCTCAAACTGAGTCTCAAACAAGCAGTGACTAATAAAAGGTAAAATAGTCAGAAAGATGCTTAATTGACAATTAGCCACTCAGTACATTGCACTACAGTAGACGCCTAATATTGAGAAAAATTATTGTTGTGAATTAAATGCTTACTAAAAATGTTTCTGTCATCAAGTAGAGACATTAATCTTTTTTCAAGAGTTACCTTTTTATTTTTAAAATGTTCTTTGTAATTTTTCTTACTATTTGTACTATATAATGATTACATTCATTGTGAGGAACTAGAACATGTACACAACATATTTTAATTCCTTTTTATCTTCTCCCCTTTTTTCCCATCCTTTGTGGGGCATGGTTATGGTAGTAATAAAGTGCAGTGGGCTGCACACATAAATTGAACCAACAAAACCCATTTACTGTCTCACACAAGATCTTGGGGTATGGTCCCAATGCTGCATTTATAAATACTTTTCAAGTGACAGCAGCTATTTTCTTTGAGTAGCAAGGGTGAGAGCACAGGCTTCAAAGTGAGGACAACTTGGGTTTGAATCCTGAACCCATTTTTATTTTATTTTTTATTAAATCTTGAAATTGTCATTTGCCGTGGGATGCTTCTGAATTTCCTTGAGTATTGCTGTCTGGGATTATTACTGATAAAATAATGCAAGGATTAGATGATTCATAAAGCTTTTGTAATGGGAAAACTTCAATAACAATGAAAATAGAGCCGCTGAGATAGCTCAGTAGAATAAGCACTTGCCTGGCAAGAGCAAGGTCCCGAGTTCAATCCACAGTACCACAAAACAAAACAAAACAAAACAAAACAAACCCCTCCAAAACAATGAAAATAGAGAAGTGTAATAAGCTTCTATGTACGGATTGTTCAGTTTAGCTGCCAGCAATTCAAAATAAATCCCATTGCTACCCTCACCAAATACATTGACGTAAATTATTCAGATCATCTCCTAAGTATGTGACAGTGCTTGAAACCTGGTCAAATCAAGTTAAGTTGTAGTTGATATATTTCTTAGGTCTGTTAAGATGGCTAGTTATAAAGTCAATCCAAGGGAGGTGACAATGAATAAATTTCAATACGCAAAAATGAGTAGCAGGAAATAAGTTAGATCCTAAAGTGGCAAATTCAAACACCTAACACCATCATATATATTACTGTATCTCACAGAATCTCCAAGATATAAATTATTGTGATAGAAACAACTACTTGTCAATCCAGTACTCATTATCCTACACTTTCTGCATAAAATGATCCTAATATTGTTGGAGTCAGCAATGTGTCCAATTTAAAAACAAAATGAAACAAAATAAAATATCTTGCTAAATTTCGCTGCCTCTCTTGCAGATGTGGTAGTCAATGACACATAAACTGAAATCACATGACCCTCTGGACTGCTTTTGCCTTTGCCCTGTGTAGAGTGCAGTCATAGCAACTGAGCTGCAGTCGTTCTTCGCAAACATCAGGAGTCTTTGAGCATGGAAGTCAGTGTTGAGAATAATGGAGCCAAAAGATGAGAGTGCTTGGACACACTGATGACATCACGGAGCCACACCAGAGTTCCACACAATACGTTTTTGGGTTTCATGGTATAGAAGAGAAAATAAAGCACTCTTTATTTAAGTCACTATTACTTCAAATTCCTGTTACTAGCTGCTAAATGTAATTTCTAACTGACACAATCATCTAATTAGCATAAGTGATGTCAACATCAGGAATCATTCTCGGAATTTAAATATCTCTAAAATCCAGTTACTAGGAAAAGCAAAACTATGTCTCTCTCATAATGTGAGGCCAGAAGACATTTATAATATCTTCCCCTGGGCTGTCACTCAGTCAAGTTGTAAATATTTAGTTTTCTTAATCTGCCCTTATGTATCAACTCTTCCAGTTTCTTAATAATCTTTGATAGATATAACACAGAAAATGCCTCTGAGCTGGGTGGTTAAAAAGCAACAGGGGAGGCAAACAGCTTTGAAAGGCAGGCTTGAAGCCATTTTTATGCATGTAGGTGTAACCCTGGGTGGAATGTGACAATCAAGACAAATGTTATTATGTAGAAGTCTAATCCATGGTGTGGGGATGTATGGGCCCCAGGCATGTCTGCAGTTCACTTCCAGCACTAGATGCCGATCCCATTTCCCTTTGGCTCACTGAGATTTGCTTAACCTCCTCAGACGGGAGAGCAATAGACTGAGAAAAATAGAAACTGCCTCATGTTGAATACATAGTAGACATCTCATTTGACAGGAATCCATAATCACCCCCTAACAACCTGAAAAAAGCACAGAAACCATGACACTGAGGATAACTGATTGACAGCTATAACCATTTCACACAAAAAATCATTCCTTTGAGGATTTGTGTGTATGAAAGAGCTTCATGGAAGGTTTTTATGTGTTACAATAACCTTAAAGTAATGGTTTGAGCTGCTTCGCTACAGAATTTTTTAAACCTGATCTAAATTATAGCATATGAAAAACTATGAAGTCATTAGAAATTACATAGTAAAGAATACTTGAGATCATAGAAAATGTTTAATAGAGCTTATTTTTAGCTACTGACATGCAGGTGAATTAAAAAACTATTAAACTGTTTACACCGTTGCACATTTTATTATCATAATGAGACAATGTTGTATATATGTGAACTGAATAGATTTGGATTTTAGTATACCAAAAAATGTGAACTGGGCCATTGGATCAAGCCTTGTGTTTTCAGTACTTTTCAAATTTTCTTTTAAAGAAAAGTTGACTTTTTAAATAAAAGAAATACTTAAAATCCAACCAAACATGAGAAAACATTTGAGTGGGTACTTTAGAATTTACAGCATGAGAAACAGGAGGACAGGTACTAGAGCCAAACTGGGAGGACAGGCAGCTGGCCTGAACCTGTGGCTCTAGGGTTGCTAAGGACGTTGTCACTGTCTCTTGTGAAACATCTCACTCAAAGAGTGACTACCCTGTAACTGGACCAGAACTATTTCCACTTCTTAAATCTGAATTTTTACAGTCTTCATTTTCTGCATGCTATGAAAATATATTATGCAGTGAAAACTATTATTTTTGAAATCCACAGACAACAGAATAATCACTATGTTGAGGAAGTAAGAAACTCAGGCACTCAAGTGATTGCCCTGAGATAATTTCACATATCCAAGAATAAAAAGAACTAAAACCTCATAGGTTTTAAGTACTGAGCCCCATATAAAGAGCCCCCTTCATCACTAGCTGGCTGATAAGCTCACATAAAAGCCTATAAAACCTGAAGACTGTTAAACCCATTAAGCTTAATTTTTACAATTAAAAAAAATTAAAGCACATGCTTTGACAAGAATTTGAGAATTTTGCCAAGAGTTTGAAACCTGTTTAATTTTATCATATACTTATAACCTTTACAGAGGTGTGTCTGACAAGAATTTATTTAAGAGAATTTGCCAAAAATGCATGAAATTGTCTTTTTAAATAGTTGTTATCCATGAAAAGGAAGGCAAATAAAATCTGCATTTTTAGCAGACTAAATGAAATTAAGAAAGATCATAAACGGTTTTAAAGTGACTGATTTGCAGGTGCTGCTTTACCTGCTCATATGACAAATACATTTGGGCCTATTCCCCCCACATCCTCCCCAAATCTTCTAGCACTGTTTGCTACGCTGAACCCACACCTGAGATCACCACTCAAATACCTTAGGACACAATGACTGAAGGGTGAGTTAATCTATGACCCAGGATGGAGTCCGGAAGGACAAAGACTGGTTCAAGGTTCAAGTGGCAAAGCAGATGGACGGACTCCTTACATCACAGAGGGGCAGAGTTATACTTACTTCTACATGTAATAGGTACTGGTTATGGAACTGTCTTCTTTGTGCGAAATATTTCTTCCAGCATTGTAGGTAGATCTAATCAAGGTCGTACACACAATTACGGTATTCCATTAAAAAATAGATAGGTATA